TTTCTCCACCCATCCGTCCTTTTTTCCCCCTTTTTCTTCTTTGTGCTGTAATGTGTCAGCTGATGTGCTGTCCCTATCCACATATGAGTGGTTTAGGGCATGACCTTCAAAATAAAAGCTGTTTTAAAAAACTTTATTTACCTCTATGTAACTTTTTTTCTCAATAACCTACATTTCAAATAAGCAAAAATATTGAATCAAATGATAGTTATTAATAACATAGAACCACATTTCCTTATAGTGTATTAATAAACACTAAAATGTTAAACCACTAAAATGACTACATAATTATAATTATAACTATTGTTGTTTACACAACTTACTAAACAACAAAGAAGCACGAAAACCACCTTTTGTAGCAGAATCTCCTACGGTTGAGCATTTCTATATGTAGAGATACTGCTATATCACCCAAGTTATTTTTGCAAATGATGCAAAAAACAAACCATTTGCATTTCTGTTCTCCATCTATCGGCTTCCTTTACTTACTTATCCTTACAGTATTGCAGGAAAGTGGTGCTTATTGAGTGAAAGAGGAGTTTCTCCTTGATCAAAGGAAACACAGTCAACCATTTATGCACACATTAATTAAACCAAAAGGTGATTTAAAACACTGCTTTACCGACTGGACTGCATGAAAAGAGACAAAGAGGACATTTCTTTGTAATGTTAAATAGCAAATAGGATTTTATCGTCATTGTAGGTAATGTGTTGGGTTAGTTTAAGGAGGGAAATAAAGGTGTGTTTATTCAGAGATGCTTCATTGTGAAAGGACAGGATGTTGCTTCTGACTTTTTCGCAATCAGAGCGCGTGAGAAAAGTTGGAACCGGGGTGAGCCATTCCTCCTTCTGCGGCACTCACCCACCTTTGCGCCGTTATTTTTCCATAACGTTGCTCTTTTCTGCCAGTTTAGTCGCTAAAAAGTTTACTAAAGCGGACTTCCTGTGCGCAGGGAACCCAGAGCAGACTCCTCCCAGCGAGTTGTCCTGGGAAACACTAACAACTGCTGAGCTCCTGTTCGCCAACTGGGAGGAAAACTTTTCCGCCGAGCTTCTTGTGCTGCTACACCGGGACGCTTCGGTCCAGTTGGGAGCTTTGGAGGAGCCGTAATGGGAGGATTATTATGCGTTTAAAGGCTGCGCCCTTTCCACGCTGCCTGAGGTAAGAAGGCTGCAAAGTTTCCAGCTTATTTAGCCTGGCGTGTAGACTGGGAGCTGACCGGGGCCTGCTTATCTGCTCCTCGCTTTGTTTGGTTCCTACAGAACACGACTGGAAGAAGTTAAATGATTTTTACATTTTATTTCAGTATAGTATGAGAGATGGAATTCTGACAATTCTGACTTTTTTCTCATAATTCAGCCCTTTTCTCATATTTCAGCATATTTGCCTCATAATTCTTACTTTAATCTCATAATTCTGCCTTTTTTTCCCCTCATAATTCTTACTTTATCTCATAATTCTGCATTTTTTCCTCATAATTCTGCATTTTTTCCTCATAATTCTTATTTTAATCTCACAATTCTGCCTTTTTCCTCATAATTCTACCTTTTGTCCTCATAATTCTGCCAATTTCCTCATAATTCTTACTTTAATCACATAATTCTGCCCTTTTTCTCTGATAATTCTGCCTTTTCCCCCTAATACTTCTGCCTGTTTTTCCTCCTAATTCTGCCTTATTTCTTCATAATTCTGCCCATTTCCTTATAATTATGCCCATTTCCCCATAATTCTTACTTTAATCTCACAAGTCTGCCTTTTTTCTCTGATAATCCTGCCTTTTTTCTCATAATCCTGCCTTTTTTTCATAATTCTGCCTTTTTCCCCTCATAATTCTGCCTTTTTCCTCATAATTTCGCCTTTTCCCCTCATAATTCTGACTTTTCCTCATATTCTGACTTTAATCTCACAATTCTGCCTTTTTTCTCACAATTCTTACTTTAATCTCAGAAATTTAGGCTTGCAGACTTAATTCTGACAGCTAACAAACACTTTTCCACCAACCTGTTTCTCTCATCTTTGTCAGTGAAGCTGGGTGCTCCCAAATCTTTTTCTATACAGTGCCCATCTACTCAGATTAAAGTCAGAATTCTGAGATTACATTTAGAACTCTGAGATTAACTCTGAGATTAAACTCAGAATTCTGAGATTAAAGTCAGGATTCTGACCTTTTCCCCATAATAGACTGAAATAATATTTAAAAATCAGTTAACTTTTCTTATTTTTTCAGTGTCCCTAAGCCTCTTCCATAGTGTCAAAGGTGTTTAACTGTGAGAAGAAAGTTGGTGAAGGCGTGCAGCTTTAACTTGTTGCTCGGTAGCCATGACATCCCTGCTGCTCTGCTTTCAGGGACCTTCTCACGTTTCCCTCAACTCTTAAAGACGCTTTTTAAGTCTTAAATAACTCTGAACAAATAAGGTCAAACAGCACAGGGATGATATTACTGTCAACAAGTTAACATTTTAATGTTTTTTTCCTTATTTCAAGGTGAATAAATGACGTTTAACTTTATGACATGAGTGTGGGATCATCACTCCACCCAGTTGAGTTTATTATTATTTATAGATTGAGTTATAATTATGATGAATAAAGGAAATGCAAAGCTTCTACAGTTTACTTAGGGATAACTGCAATAACTAATAAATGAAAGCTAACATAATCTGAATATGGATGGGAAAAGTATTCACACCTTTGGGGTAGTTTTTTTAGGTCAGTCACAAACCTCTGCATATTCCAATAGGATTTTATGTAATGGACTGTATGGTACTACAAGAAAGCAGCAAAAAACATTAGAAAACTAAAGCATTTATTTTCTTTTTTAATGAACTATCTTGTTCACTGTTATTTTGCAAACTGAATTCAAGTGGATTAGAAATAATCTGGGCTCAGTTTAATCTGTTAAAATCTAAGCCATTTACTTGTAGCGTCGGCTATTTGTGTGATGTTTTCTTTGCCCTTTTGGAAGTTAGTGTAAAATTTATTGTATCCATCTTCCTGTCATCCCATATCCATAATATCCCCCGCAGCATAATTCTGCCACTACTGTGTTATATGGTAAGATTTATTCATTTATGAACTTTATGAGCAGAGTGCTGCCCTTATCTGACTAGAGCGCCATCCTTCATCTGTGAAGGATAAAATTTCTTCTTTCAGTTTTCCATAAAGATCAGGTTTGTTGGGTGCATGATGAGCTGATGTTCTGTTACCAATCAAATGCAAAATAGGTTTTCCTTTTTTTCCTGGTAGGTTTGTTTCATACTCCAGAAAAGTATTGAAGGCTGCACAGTTTTAAGGTTTTTTAACATTAAGCTTCTCCACTGCTTTATCTCACATTGCTCTTTCACTAATGTAAAGTTTCATATAGGAGCAAATTAGGTGACTTCTAAAAGCAAACGTTGGCTCTAGGTTTGATTTAGTGGTGCTTGAGGAAAGGGGGCTAAATTATAAGTTCAAGGCAGACTTTTATCCCCTAATTTGTCAGAGAATGGCCTCTGTTCTTTCAGCTTCATGCTTATGCTGCTCCTATTGTCATCCTTTTGTACATATTACTGTTTTAAAGGAAGTTACTCTACAAGCGGGGGTTTCACTTCTTTCCAGCTCATGCTGATGAGCTGTCCTGTAAAGGAACACTGAGGCCCTCCTGAGTCATTTACAGCCTCCTGACCTCATCTACTTGCACATGTTCAAAGGGAGCAGGGACATTAACATGGCCGCCCCTCTGCCTCCCCTTGATTTTGCCCTAAAGTTTGCAACACAAACCTTATCTTCCTCACATAAGGGAGACTTACCTGGACTTCGTCCCACTCTGCCCAAGCCAAAGTGCACCTTGTGAGGCCCATCTGCTGGCTTTTCAAAATGAGACTTAACGTTTCTTTAAGCATGTTCCTTTCAGCGACTTGTTTCATATCTGGTCTCATGTGTTTGACATCTGAATTCCTCTGCTGATTGTGAGGCTAATTGCTCTCACTAAGCTGAAATTTGATTTTAAAATTCTTTTGATACCTGCAGCGACGCTCACACTGATAACACTGGGATATGTATGTCATGAATAGTTCTTCTATTTAAAAGGGGCACTGGACTGTAAAGCATAGTCTGTATTCATCTTTATATATGGGGTTTTCTCTATATATGGCCTGACTCGGTTACTGTTTAAAGAATGAAATAGACCTGTTATGACTTCTTATTGTCTCAGAACCTGCGTGGGCCACTTCAGTGGGATGATTCCTCCTCTTCTGATAGCTATATGGTAACTTATCTGTGTCAGAGGGTAATCTGTTTGAGGAAACGGTGTGGTTTCCAGTTGGCTGCAGAGAAAGGACAGACATGGTGGATATGTGATCTTGGTCCTTTAGCAGCAAAGCTGACAGGTATCAGAGACCCAGCCTACCTGATCACATCAAAAAATGAATGACAACAATTTTTTAACACCCCCCTCAGCTAATGGAATACAATTACAGTGCCTCACAAACTGCAACCGTCAAATTCATCTCTGTGCACGACCACACCCCCTGCGCAGAGGTTCTGCAGCTGTTGTCGTTCACCAAAAAAAAATCCTGACTACGCGTTGGACGGTCGCAAACCCACGCAGACCTTGAGCAGAAATGCACAGACAAAAGGCAGCTGTGATTGGTCCTTGATATGCCTTTCCGGCTGTCTGTGCGGTCGTTCTTCCTCGATTCGGTGCCGGGGCGCACCATTTTTAAAAAACGAGATTTTTGAAAACAACAACAATGGACAACTACGATGAACGGTAAATCAGGGAAGTCCGTAAGTACAATCCGTCGAAGTTCTCACGAGTCCTCGAATAGGCTCCCACTTGTGCTTTGGCAGGAAACTGCTGTGTGTCCCTAGAAATTCAAGACCGATGGTGCAGAAGCACACCAGCAAAACTGGTTCGCGACCAGACCCAAATGACATTTGATGTGTGCGGCTGCCGGAGTCTAATCTGCCCTTTAGTTTAAAATGGGTTCCATCTGATTAATTGATAATGTCCACTTTGACGGAAGTTCTTTCAGTGTTGTGCTGTTACCAACGTCCACTTGAGGGCATCACTGTAAATCTTTATCTGGACTTTTGCTAGTGTTTGCAAGAGAAGTAATGCAAGAGCAGAAACGTGGACCAATCTCAATCCGGCCACTGAACAATAATCCCTAAGCACTAACCTTTGGTTTGCACATTCCCGCAGGGAGCCTGCTACGTTAAGAGCTGTTCCAAACCATATAGTGGGTAGGGCGATCGGACTGTTCAGCCCTTAAGGAGTGAGTCTGCATCAGTGAGCCTCGCTGGAATTTGTCAGCATGTGAAACGGCGATCTAATGGCGGAGGAAACGCGTGCAGTCAAATAAAAGTTCCACTGGTTTGCTGCATATTCATCACACTGACAGAAAATTCCAAGTTAGGAAAATAAAAAAAGGCATCATTGGAGAAATGAACTGCATTTAACCCACCTAGCTGTGGGCTGCCGCTGTGCAGTGCATTGGAAGCAACCAAGGGTTAAGGGTCTTTGTCTAGAGACCCATGGCAGTCTGTGGGAGTGGGTTTCGAACTCACAACCTCAGGATTCCAAGCCCTATGCCCTAACCACTAGGCTGCCACTGATCATTGATCCCTGAAGGGAAGGTCCTCTTTAAAAAAGTTTGATTTGACCGTATATTTATTTTAAAGATGGGGCAAAGGTAGAAAATTTAAAAAGAAATATTTAATCCTTTTTTTCAAGTAATTAAATAAATTGCTCATTATCTAATATGTATTTATTGCACCTTATAGTGTTATCAAAAATATCACCAATAATATTTATATATTGCACCTTTACTAAAATCAAGTTTCATTTTTACTGTTATAAAATAATATCCCAAACTTTGTTGCTCTCGTGGAGCATGTTTAATTGCATCATACAAAATAATTTTACAGTATATCACAACTAAAAGCCTTTGAAGATGTGACTTTGATCTATGTTGCTTTGAGCTTTGATCCACCAAGAAGCCAATGGTAACACTGGAGGAGCTGCAGAGATCCACAGCTTATACTGGAGAACATGATGAGAGGACATCTGCTTTGTTAAACTGGCAGTTATGAACAAATAGCAAGAAGGTCATAGTTTAATAGAAGCTAAAGTTATGTTTGGGTTTACTATAAAACATGGAAAGAACACAGTGAACTTCTGA